TAGCTGAAGTTTTCAAGTCATTTATGCAAAATACTGTGCTCTGTTTTCTCAACTCACAGAGCCAACTCTTTTTTAAAAGGTTTATTGGCAGGTCCTTCCCCTCCTCTCAACCGTTTTTCACCTAAAATCTGATAATTTCTTGATGATTCATTTAGTTATTAAATAAAGCTTTGACAGTCACTCACATATCAGGGTGCAGGCTGATTTTTTTTATTCCTTAATGTATGACAACCCAGCTGTATCTGGGTTGTCAATGATGTCCTGGTGGGAAATTAATTAATTGACAGATAACTTATTTAAAAGCTATTATCCTAGTTCCATAATGGGTAATAAGCAAATGTATACTGTTAAAACTATGTGTATTAGTTTCTAGGGCTACCATAACAAAATCCCACAGACTTCATGGTCCATATAGTACAAATTTATTTTCTCACAAGTCTAGGGCTAAAAGTTCAAAATCAAGGTGTCGGTAGGATTGTTCTCTCCTTGGGCCTCCCCTTGGCTTGCAGATGGTGCTTTCTTACTGTGTCTGCAGACAGTTCCCTCTGCATGCACACATCCCTGGTGTCTCGGCCTCTTCTTATAGGACGGTGGCCTTACTAGAGGCTCCATCCTAATAGTCTTATTTTTAACCTAGTCACTTCTCCAAGGCCATATCTCCAAATGACCACATTCTGAGGTATTAGAGGTTGGGGCTTCAGCATGTGAATTTGCAGGGTTACAATTCAGTCTCCTAGCAATGTGGGAAAACAAAAGCCTTTTCCATCCCTAGAGTTTTCTCTGCATACCAGGTAAAAGTTGGAAAAAGCATGCCCCCTCCATGATGGAAGTTGTTTAAGCACTGAAATAATTCATGCAAAGAAATGAATTTCCCAAGTATGTGTTCTCAGAAGTTCAGTGCTGGGTGGGTGGGAGGCAAGGCTCTGCAAAAAGAGAGTCTGGGATTGGCGGATGGGCTGGGGGCAGACAGCAGAGTGGATTCTGGTGCAGGAAATGACAGGCCACACTTCAAGATCTGTCACCCTGGACCTCTCCTTTGTTCCGGGGCTCCTGATGGCCCCAGGACAGAGCCTCCTCTGCCGAGCTCCCCTCTCCTGAGGGAAGACAGAAATGCAGCTCTCTGGAGGACCAGTGGCTGGGCTCCTTCACTCCCACCCAACAGAGCTCCTCCTGTGACTGTTTTGAAGTGTAAATACAGAGGAATCCAAAAGACATTAATTACATTGAAATATATACTTCTTTGTCAGTATTTTAAGCAACATGATCTAGTAGCAGATCTCAATGTCAGAACTTCAAGGGAGATCTGCAGCACTTGTAAGGTGATGTGAAAGTCTCACGTGAAAAACTGTTGTAAAGGTGGCTCGGGAATTGATTGGTGGTCTACATTTGAAATTGAAAGGAAATGCTAAATAATACGTACTTTCTTCATCCAAGTTCACAAGACCCTGATTGTAACCATGGATGCTGTGGGTGTAAGGACCCAGGCAAGCATATCTGGTCTGTTAGGCTCTGTGGTCTGGTGCCAAGACCCTTTAGTAAGGCCCGCCTCTGGCTCTGAGGGGGGCTGTTAACTCTGGGAGAAGGGAAATCACTACTTTCCCCAGGCCTTAGGTTTTGGTTTGCTTCTTTGGGGAAATCTGGGCTACTAGAAAAACGAGTCTCAGTACTTAACACTGGCGTGGGGCTGATTCCTTGCCTAAACTTCACAGTGCACAAGGAAGGATGCTAAGAGCCATTGGAATGGCAAGCAGCCAGCCTGCTGATGCGGTCCCTAGTTCTCACTCCACACATATTTGGTGAGAACCTTGCTTTCTGCGAGGTAGTGGGAGAGACCTGGTGGGGTCCACCCACAGTCCAGAAGAAAGACAGCCAAGAAGTGGGGCTGGTGGTGGAGCTCCTTTAATCCATGTGGGAATGAGGTGGCAGTGCCTAAGAGTTCAGGCCATGCCTAGGAGTTCAGCTAGAAACAAGCAAGGGGTACAAGGCAGCTTTGTAGCATTGAGGTGGGCATGGAAATCATTCATCTGGAGGGCAGTGGGAGATGGGGGCAGGGAAGGTGGCAACATTCATCCTGAGAAGTGGACAGAAAGAATGCTTACTTCTTCGTGGCACTTGGAAAGTAAGAGCGCTCACCCGCAGATCCTCTCCCCGCTTTTGTCTGATTTGGCCGGGAGTGGAAAGCCCTGCTTCTCTCAAGATCCTGAAGTCTTTGTTAGCTTCTTGTTCCTGGACCTTGATTTTGCCTGCTTGTTTCTGTACTGGCCGTGATGTTGGGACTGGCTCTGTCCCCAACCAAGACCATTGCTGTGTCTCCCTCACTAGCCATCTGGATCACAGAATCAGCAGTCCCCCCTTGCGTTGTGATCCAGTTTATTTATAAGCCAGGTAGAGGACAGGCGGTACTAAAACAGCAACAGCAGAAAAGTGCAAAATAATTAAGAAGGCCTTGTGGGGCGCGGTCCCCTGAAACGGTCCCCATTCCACTGTGGCCACTGAGACGTGCAGGACAGAAGTAGTTCGGTTTTATCTTTGAAACCAGAGACTGACTCATGAGAGACAAGCCCACAGGGGATTCCTGTTAGTTGACCAGAATCTACTCCTTCCTAGGTACAGAGATAGCAGGATGACAAAAGAGTGGTTGGTGAACATAGAATCAAACAAGATAGAGTCTTGAGGGACACTGCATCCACCAAATACATGGAAGGACTGTGCCATGGAGCCCACCACTCGGGTCTGCCAGGCAGACCAGGCTACCCCTGCCTTGACAGCCGCCATCTCCACTGACTTGGCTCCAGCTTCTTTCACAGTGAGACCCTGCATTCAGCTCCTGGTGCTGGGAGACGTCCAGCTCCCAGGCCTCTGAAAGTCCTTTGCAGCTGGAGAGTCCCCCACACAGGGGGCACTCAGCCCCACTCACAGTGCCCAGTTGGCTCCATGGGGGATTGTTGACATGCAGGAAAGGCCAATTTAAAGGACAGATTTGAAGTGAATCCTTGTCTAAAACAGTCATTTATTTAAAGAGTCCGGCCTAGTTAGTAGCACTAGTTAGCCGCCCTGAGAATGCTTTAAAAAGCAGGGAGCCGGGCATTGTGCTCCAGGGGAAAAGCGGGCACCAAGAGGACGAGATGCAAGGGAATCTTGCGTGAGTCACTTTCTCCGAGGCTCACTGTCTTCAGCACAGTTGTGCTAGCCTGAGTGCTCAGGCATCAGGGACAATACGAGTAACACACCTGGATCCAGTTGCTTCTCTGGAAGTGATAGCTGCTGTTGCAGTGGTGGAATGTTTTAAAATTCTGTTTGTTTTTGATAGCCCACTTTGGGATGGAACTGTTTCGACTGTCTTAATTCTTCTTTTCCAGCAACTGTGACAAGTCTAGCGATGTCCTCTTAGCCTTGCCCTCCCATTTCTGTTTGCAGAAAGAGAGCCACCTAGCATTATTTCAATAGAAAGCATTTATTTCAAGGCATATATTTTCCACCTTAACTTTTGGTGCTTGAGCTAAATATTTTAAGTTCTAAAAAGTAGTTTTCTGCAATTCGGAGACTATTGAGAACAAACAGGAAATAATTCTGCTGTTCGAGATTTGGGACACGTGTTGGATAGAAATTGTCACTCCGGTGGCCAGTGTTTCAGGCTGCCCCCAGTGCAAGGCTCAAACTTTACAACAGGGAATCTCAGGTTTTAATGAAACCAGCTGGGGGTGCTGAGCATGGGGAGAGCAACAAAGGATTTTGTCTTGGGGATGAGTGAGGAGGAGCCACTTGAAGAGCACTTGTTTTCCATCAGACTTGCCTAGGATACACTTCTAGTCATTCCATGAAAACCCTGAGCTTAACAGGCCACAGGCCGAGGGCCATCTCTTTCTGCTGTGACCTGCTGCGGTGAGGTGGAATTGAGCAGCACAGCACTGGGTTTGGCTTCCAGTCTTTTCGAGCACCATGGCTCAGAGGCTTCCCCTGCCAGGGACCTTCCAGACAGAACAATTTCATCGGAGATGTGAGGAAGAGAAAGGCAATTCCATCCCTGTAAAAAGTTGAACATAAGTCAAGCTGTCGCTTGGTGTGAAAGCAGGAAGAATAAGACAGAGTATTACTAAAGAGTCTAGTACATGACTGCCAAAAGTGCTTGGGAGACCCCGGTATGTCGAAGGTGCCAGGCCTGTGGGACTCAGCTGAGGAAAACAGTAGGCAGGGAACAAGGGAGAGAGGCCCTGGGAGATGAACCAGCCATGCTGTAGGGGCAGGGCCGTGCAGGTCCTTTAGAGTTCTCATTTTACCATAACTTGCCTGCAGTACTGGACGTGGAATTACAGGATTTAACTTTCGCCCTGCTGGGTTTCAGTTTTTGCTTTGGTCTCATTTCTTCCTATCTGCGCTCCTCCTTTTTGGACTGGGAATGTTTACCCCGTGCCATTGTATGTCAGCAGTGTTTAATTTCTTTTTGATTTTTACAGGGGCTCACAGCTAAGAGTTTGTGTTAAGTCTCAGAGGAAATTTGAACTTGGACTTCCAAGCAGTGCTGGAACTGTTAAGACTTTGGCAGCTGTTAAATGCAGTTTGCATACAGAGATGTGCATGAATCTTGGGGGCTGGGAGCAGAATGTTATGGTTTAAATCTAGCTGTCCTTCCCAAGAGCTCCGTGTGCTTCCAGGCTTTTGGACGGAGCCTGGATTATATGGATGCTAAGGCTGACTTGCTGTTAGTAGGGGGGTTCTGGTCAGAAGAGGCACGTCACTGGGTCATAGCCTGGAAGAATGTATCTCCCTTCCCAGCTCCTTCCTTTGTTCTCTACTTCCCAGCTGCAAGGAGGTGAGCAGCTTTCCTCTGTAGCGGGTCCTTCCCCATTCTGCTTCTGCCCTGGAACCAGCCAACTACATACTGAAACTTCTAAAAAAAAAAAAGCATGAGCCAATGGAAACCTCTCCTTTAATTTATTCGTGCTTAATACTGAGTCTCAGCAATGAGAAAGTGACTAGGATGCTGTGTTTTGTCTTTACAGATTTATCAGCAAAACTGTTGAAAGTATAACCATCCAAGATGCCTGTCCCTCCCCCACCAGCACCCCCTCCGCCACCCACATTTGCACTGGTGAGTGTCTCCAGTTTGTATACCTATTGCAAGCCAGAAGAAGTCCAAATCTGGCATGCAAGTATGCATTTTGTGTGTGTGCATTCTGGTACAGGGGTGATAGAGCAGGCTCTGCCAGGGCCGACAGTAAGCCAACCCCTGAGACCTTGAGAATCTAAACACCATGAAAGATTTGTTTGGTTAATGTCTGCTGCCATCCACCGTGTGAATGTGCAGTGGGGCTCCTTAGGTTTCCTTCGACGTGCCCATCAAGGGAAACTTGCAGGAGCCGTTCTGAGGCCAGCAGGTACTGTATCCACTCAGCATGCAGGTCTCTGTGTGCAGTGTGTCCAGTACGTGTTGTCCATTCTGCTTTCTTTTTCTTTGCCCCCTCCCCTTTCTTTTCACTGTTTTTGAACTGTCATCCCTACCACCAGCATCTTTCCCACCTACACTCACATGCCCCTTTTAGCCTGTCCTTGCATTTAAATGTTTACTGCCCAGGGGAATTTCTTCACTGCAGTCATCTGGTCCTCCAGAGACCTGTGGGAAAGTTAGTGAACCCTGTTCCAGGAGCCACACAGTGGTATGAAATGACTCCAAGACACACTCCTTTCCCAGGGCTTCCCCTGCACCTGATGCCTGCACTACTCAGAAGCTTCACACTGGTGCTCCCTTCACTTTCATATAGGGAAACTGAGGCTTGGGGAGACAGAGTCATATTCCTCACTCATTCATTCATTCATTCAGCCGTGCTGGGGACTGACTCAGGGCCTCACATATGTAGGGCAAATGCTTTACCATTGAGCTACATCCCCAGCCCTTTTTATTTTACAAAAATTCGTTGTGATTTTACAAAGATTGAAAAAAGTTTTTAAAGCTGGTCTTTTGCATGGATACGTTTGAGGAGTTCTGATCCGGCTGGCCTGGCAAGATTGGTTTCTGTTTCTCCCAAAATGTGAGTTGTATACCACTGCTGAATAGTAATGGATTAATTTTTTGAATTTCAATGCTTATGTATTTATTTTAATATGTGTTTTAAAATGATGATTAACACATCAAATTCAGGGTTCAGCAGTCAGTTAATTTAATACGTTCATTGAAAAATAGTGTCATCAATAATATATTGAGTTGGCTGGTAAAAATACAAAATACTAACACAGATGGCATGAGAATACTGCATGAGAACGATTAAAGTTTGAGGAACCCTTGTTTATCCCATCAACCAGTTTCTATCCTTTGGTATCTAACTCAAAGCAAGATCCTGGAGAAATAGGGTATAGAGAGGAAAAAAGGGGAAAGAGGGTTGGTGGCCATCAAGGGACATTGCCCAGTGCAGCGGTGCAGTTAAGGGCTCTGCTCTGTCACATGAGAGAGGCCAACACTCAAGGAAGTCAGGTATCGAATAAATTTTGAAGCTGAACAGGAAGCCACTGAACATTGTTGACCTGCAAATTGTTAGAACTCCAGTGTGGCATTTCAGTTAACCTCCCTAAACCTCAGTTCATGTTCATTCTTAAAATGAAGACAGAAGGTAAATTTTAAAACTCTTTCCAGGATGTTCAAGGTATGCTGTTGATCAGATAAAAAAAAACAAGTTTCAGAGCAGTAGAGGATAAACCACTAAATGCAAGCTGATATGCAGGGCGCTTCTGGAAGAACAGCTGAGAAGCTCTAAACAGGCTGCTTCCGGGCCATGCTGGGGGCTCATGGAGCCCATGTTTACCCTTCTGTCTGATTATAGGGAAGGCCCTGGAGTCAGACTGTCAGGGTTTGAATCCCAGCTCCTCTTCTTACTAACTGGTAATGAGGCAAACAATATAATCTCCCTATGCTCCAGTTTCCTTGTCTGAAATGGAAATAACAACCCATAGCTGATGAGGACTAAATGAAATAATACACATAAGGTGCTGAAAATAGTGCCTGGTCCAGTGTAAAAGATATATTATTATCATTATCATAAGCAAGTAATCTTTTATAATTTAATTATTTTAAGACACTTCCAATTTAACACACGGTGAGCCCATGTAGCCTACTTCAGGGTTTTTCTGAGCTAACTCTAATAACAGGAGGGTGGATGAGACGGCAAGTCACACCCTTCTCCAGCTTTACCTCTCATGGCCCTTGCTGGCCCATCTGCAAGCACATCCCATCCAGGAGGGCTGGGGCAGCCTAGCAGGACTCTCGGGTCTGCTGGAAGGACCTCCCTGGGCCCAGACAAGGCCAGGCCAGTTTCCAGTGTGACAGCCACAGGCAGATGCTTACTTCCAAGTCCACGTGCTGGACTCTTAGTGTCTCTGCTCCTAAATGACCTTGAAGAAGCAAGATTGATTTCCAGGAACTCCAGAAATACAGGAACATACCCAAACATCTTAAAGCAGTATGTTTCTTCACTCTGTAGGTTCTCTGAGCTACATTTTCAAATGGATTAAACATCAGAAACAAGTAGGCCAGAGGGACACCAGGGTACTTTAGAGAATAATGAAAATGTTCTGTATTTTGATTATGGTGTGGTTACACAACTCTGTATGTTTGTCAAAACTCACAAAACCTTAACCTCAAAGGATTATTTCACCATATGTAAATTATACCTCAATAAATCTCACTTAAATATTGTGTCTTTGTCAACGTACTAAGAAGTTGTTTTCAGAAATTTCAGTGATTTTTTTGTTTTGCTTTGTTTTTGTTTTTCTTTCAGTACTAGGAATCAAATTCACGACCCTTGCGCTTGCCAGGCAGGCGCTTTGCTGCTGAGCTAAATCCCCAGCCCCTCAGTGAGTTTTTAAACCCACTATTATTCATTAGAGACACTTTTTCCTTGCACCAGGTTAGTTTTAAAAGATGGGAAAGGTATCTCGTCCTTCAGGACACGCCCTGGAGAATGAAGCCTAAAGTGTCCTACAGAACCCTGAGACTGCAAATTCCCTTATCATGTGTAGCCATCAACCCTCACCTTGGCTCCACTAATTGCAGGCAGATTGTGGTCTGAATTTTCAGAGACTTTTAGCAGAAGCTGACTTCCTGCCTTGAAAATGAATGTAATTTACTGCTGCATCTGCTCTCAAATGTCTAGGTCATAAAAAGCATAACATGGAGTCCAAAACTTGTGGAGGATTTATAGCCTATCTCTAAGAACCTTAATAGCAAACTTCCAGTACCCTGCCTGTCCAGCTGAGAAGCATAGTGCATGATTTTAATCCAGGAGCTGCAAACAAGTTTGTGTGGTTTCCTTTCAGGCCAATACAGAGAAGCCTACCTTGAATAAGTCAGAACAGGCTGGGAGAAATGCTCTTCTGTCTGACATCAGCAAAGGGAAGAAACTAAAGAAGACAGTCACCAATGACAGAAGTGCACCAATATTGGACAGTAAGTGAGAAAGCTATCTCCCATGGAGACAGTTGGTTTATGGTCTAACAACCAACTCTACACCTCCTCCAAAAAAAGTTGTTTTTTTTTTTGTTTTTTTTTTTTTTGTTAACAACAGCTGCAAAGCTAGCAAAATAAGGGATTGTTCCACTCACTGTAGGCCACCGCTTTGGCTTGGGTTCCCCTCTACTGCAGCAGGAAGCCAGTATAATAATTCTTTGTCTGAAACATACACAGCAGCGATTCTCTGAATTATTCACAACATTTTTCTGTAGTTTAACCCATTGCTCCTGGCACCACAGATGAGGAGATGGGCATGGAATATGGAAAGTGCTCTCGCCTTGGGATCAGATGATGTGGGCACATCCATTGTGTGCCATCTCCAAGTCTCATTTGTGAAGTGGAGATAGACATCTGTTCTACTGACATCACAAGTTTGTTTGAGCTTCAAATGAGCTTGTACAAGTGCTTTGTTGTCTGACAGTGTAATTTAAGTATAAGATGGGATTAGCAGAAACTTTGAGAGAGAGGAAATGAGATCACATTTTTACTTATCCACCCATTTGAGCCTGAGATAACTTTCTGCAGGGCAGGGTATGTATAAACAAACAAGTATCCATAACACAAGGCTACTTATTAGCATTTTCAACAGAATAAAGAATGGGCCAGGCATGGTGGTGCATGCCTGTAATCCCAGCACTCGGGAGGCTGAGGCAGGAGGATCATTGCAAGTTCGAGACCAGCCTGGGCTACAAAGTGAACTCAAGGCCAGCCTGAACTGCATAGCAAGACCTTGTCTTAAAAAGAAAAAAAAAAAAAAAGATTATCCATGACTGGAATCCATTAATAATCAGGCTTTGAGACTGGCCTTTCACATTCATAGACCTTTACACTATCCAGTAGATATTACCAAGACTCATCCTAGATCTCACTTGTACTCCAAGGAAGTACACTGACCTTCTACAAATCACCACGTGGCGTTTTAAAACTACCAAATAAAGATGATGGATTTTAGCAAAGTAGATAAGTAGTGCTTGGGCATCACTGGGAGAAGCACCTAAGGGTAGAGAAAAGAGAAGAAGGATCAGAGTTATAGGGGAAGATGGGTGTGGGGAAGAAATGAAAAAGAGGAAGATTAAAATAAGGTCTTTGAACACTGCTCTGCTACCAGGCAAGGTGGTGCAAATGAGAGAGTAGCACTCCTCAAAAAAAGGAACTGGGGGGTGTTTGACTTTTGATTTGAAACTGTGTGACCTCTTGGTCAAAACACTCATCATTGTCACAGGATTTTCCCTGGGATGAACCCAGCACAGTGAGTTATATCTGGCAAGCTCTGGTCCAGCAGCCATCTGAGTTATAATCCCTAGTGTGGGGATAAGAGGCCAGCAGCTCTCTCCACTATGAAAGGCAGAATAGGGCCCTGGAGAGGTGGTGTAAATTCCCTACCAGTGTTGAAGGAAACTGGACAGTCTGGGCCTATTCCTCAATCCAGTGGAACTCACTATATTCTTGAAGGTCTGCTTCTCCCATTATAAGGAAACAGTGTTGGTCCCTCTCCCCTCTAGCTGTTCAGTAATGTTGAAGAGTATACTGCTTCTGCGAGGCATGCGGGCACATGCCTGCAACCCCTGCTACTTGGGAGGCTAAGGCAAGAGAACTGTTAAGTTTAGGCTCAGCCTGTACAATTTAGCAAGACCCTGGAGAACCAAAAGAAAAGCTTCCCTCAATGTAGCAAGATGTACAAAATGAGCCCAGTGCATGTCATTGGCCCATGCACTTCAGTGGACAGCTACACTGCTATCACAAGCTCTTTGCAAGTGGCAAAGTTTGTCCATGGTTTTATATTTGCCTGTGAAGCCATCCTGGGCTCCATATCAAAATGGTGCCTATGATAATGCACGATAGCTCTTGATTTCAGCCCTGTCCTACAGTCCTACAGTTTATACAAAATTACCTGGAGCCAGTTAGCTATCCTTAATTTTAGCTTTTTGTATTATTCTATTTTCTATCACTATAACACAGCTAATCCAATGTTGTATAAATTACTCCCAAACAGAAAGAGATGGGAAGCTATCTGTTAGGTATAAGAAACTGTCATAATCCAATATCAAAACTTGGCAAAGAGAGCACACACACAAAAGAAAGTTGTTCCTAAGTGTTTTTTATGGGATTTTTGCCTCCCAGGAGACATGTGCCAATGTCTGAAGACTTTTTTCCGTGTGTGTGTGTGTGTGTGTGTGTTTTGTTTGTTTGCAATGCTGGGGGTCAAACCCAGAGCCTCATGTACACTACACAAATGCTCTACCCTTGAGCTACATCCCTTCTCCTGAAGACATTTTTAGTTGTCACAGCTTTGGTGGGGTAAGGGACACCTAGTGGGCAGTGGACAGAGATGCAGTCCTTCTATAAAGAACAGGTCAGCCACCCACAACAAAGAATTATCCAAAACTAAATGTCAGTACAGTATTTCCAAAATTAGGAAAACCTACCTCAGATAACTTAAGATCATGGGTGACAGAATACCTTGCTTTAAAACCCCCAAAACCTAATCATGTTATAAAAATAATTCACCAAGCTCAAAGTTTATGCTATTTTTAATACTAGATTGAAAATTTATCCATCACATCAAATAAGAAAAAAACCATATAGTCGAATTAGTAGATATTAAATCAGCATTTGATAAAATTCTATGCTATAAGAAAGTTTTAAAAATCTAAAATAGAAGGATTTTTCCTGACTGTAAATATTTTTAAAAGCCTGTTTTAAACCAATAGTTACTATTAGAAGCAGTCTCACTAAAATCAGAACAGTTACCTTTAGCACCATCAATAATTCACATTATTGTGGAAGTACATCCATCAAAGTAATTACCTGTGTAAAACAGATGATACATACCTCTTAGAGGAGGGATTTGAAAGCTTTATGATTTGTAGACCATATGTCTACCAGGAAATGCAAGGTCATATTTTTTTGTAAATTTTAACTTAGAGTTGCTTATTAGTTACCAAATGAAATCTCCTATGCAAATAATAACCAGTTACAAAATATAATAGGAAAAAGCCCTTTTTACAACTTTAACAAACAAAAATGTATTCATAGTTAAAAAAACTTCAAAACTTTTCCCAAAAAAATCCAGAAGACATGAATAGGAGAAAATACATTTCCAGTGTGAAGTGTGAATATACAATTCTCTTAGATTAATTTATACATATAATTTACTGACTCAAAGACTAAATCTAGTTTTAGAGAGGTAGAACTTTAAACAGTATTTAACCTTACAAATACAGACAGCTGGATGTGGTGGCACACACCTGTAGTCCCAGCACTGGGAAGGCTGAGGTAGGAGGATCACTTCGAGTTCAAGGCCAGCTCGGACTACATAGTGAATTCAAGGCCAGTCTGAACTACATAGTAAGACCACCTTGTCTCAAAAACAAACAAAAATCATACCTGCTTACTTTCTCATTGCTGGGACAAAATGCCTGACATCCACAAGTTAAAAGAAGCAAGGTTTATTTTGGCTCACAGTTTGTGGAGTTTTCGGTCCCTTGGCTGGCTTCAGGGTGGGGTGGCACGGCGGAGGGACATAGCAGAGGAGGAACAGTTCGTGGCATGGCAGGCAAGAACTGGACAGCCACCGAGGGAAGAGGAGGGCTTGAGGTACATATATATTTCCTTCCGGGCCACTCCCACAGTGAACCACCTGTTCCCACCAGGCTTTGCCTCCCACCCAGCTATATATAAAGCCATCAGTGGATGAATCCAGTACCACACACCCAGGATCCAGTCACAAAGCCCCACCTATAAGTGCATGAGGCCTTTGGGGAACATCTAGATATAAGCATATGTACATGATAAATTAAACGATTAATTTTTAAAGAGGGTATAATCATTGCTCTTACACAAATATAAAATGAACATGTTAGCCTTTTATTTAACTCATTAACTAATGAAGGAGTCAGTATGATGTTACTAATTCAAAGGAAAATATAGTACAAAGTACCACACATACAAGTGCTGAAACGAACTTACAATTAGGTGCAAAACAGGTCTGGAACAACTTAATTTGCATTTCTTTAGACAAATATAATTAGCATTCCTAGCGGTCTCCTACACTTCATAGTTATAAAATAGCTCAGCTGAGCGTGTTGGCACATACCTGCAATCCCAGCACTTGGGGGCTGAGACAGGACTGTGAGTTTGAGCCCCACCTGGGCAACATAGCAACACACTGTCTCAAAACAAAAACAAAGTGGGCTTGGTGGCACACACCTTCAATCCCCAGCACTGGGGAGACTGAGGCAGGAGGATGGCTGTGAGTCCAAAGCCAGCCTGAACTACATAGCGAGATCTCGTCTCAAACAAAACAAAATAGCTCGAAGGTGGGGGGAATAACTCAGAAAGCAAGACAGGCTACCCCATAATCTTTTTCTTTCTTCTTTTGTGGTTGCCATTTCAAAATCTTTCACCATTTTTTTGCAAATAAAAGCAAAATAAAATCTTATGCCTTCTTAATTTGCCAAAACTTTTAAAGTTGTTTAGCCTGTTGAGTTTTATGATATCAAAAGAATAAAAATCAACTTAAAAGGACATCAAATAAGTAGGTAGTTAATTAAATTATAATACATTAATGTTTTAAAATATAACATGGCCCTATAATCTCATGTTTTCAAAGAATAATAACATGGGAAATGCTAACAATAAAGAGGTTAGTGATTTTTTTATGTTCTTTTCTTTTATTATTTTATTTTCCCTTTTTTTGGTTCTAGAGAGTGAACCCAGGGCCTTCACAGTTGTTTTTTTTTTTTTTTAAGACAGCATCTCATGGACTGGGGATTTAGCTCAGCGGCACAGCACCTGCCTGGCAAGTGCGAGGTCGTGAGTTCGATTCCCAGTACCAAAAAAAAAAAAAGAAAGAAAGAAAAAAAAGACAGCATCTCACTAAGTTTCCCAGACTGCACTCAAACTTGTTATCCTCCTGCCTCAGCCTCCTAGAGTGCTGGGATTACAGGTGTGTGCCAACATGCTGAGATGAATTTGTTCTTAATTTTAAGAAAAAACATAAAATGAAAAATACAGGAAAAAACACACTTAATACTGAATATTTTCAAGGAATAAACTATGAGATATTTTATTTTGTTCTCATTTTTTTTCTTTTTTCTATTTCTGCTTTTTTTTTTAACTGTTTCCTTTTTCTTCATTTTTACTGCATCTCTCTCCCGTGGAACACTTCCTTTGTAGATCTTTTTATTTGCTAAATCTTAGAATATAGGACAAATAGATGGCAACACATAGGGCAGCCAGTCAAGCAGGGTATGGGGACAAAACGTCATCTCTTACTGTTTCTTCCGCTACTGGGCTGGGCCGGACCCGCAGCGTTAAGAAAAGCCCTCTGTTCTGCCCAGGGGTGAGGCAAACACCTAAAACCCTGCAGCTGAGGGAAGAAATCCCAGCTGTCCCCCAGAGGCCCAGGTTTAGCTTCCATCCTCTCATGGTTTCCTTGGGCTAGGTCTGGCGCAGTACGCAGGTGGGCGTTTCCTTACATGTATTTTCTTCCTTTTGCAGAGCCCAAAGGAGCCGGTGCTGGTGCTGGTGGCTTTGGTGGAAGCAGCGGGTTTGGCGGAGGAGGGGGCAGCAGTGGAGGAGGAAGCAGCGGTGGTGGTGGAAATTTTGGAGGGGGCGGACCTCCCGGCCTGGGAGGACTGTTCCAAGCTGGAATGCCGAAGCTGAGATCCACGGCCAGCAGAGATAATGGTACCAAGTCTCCTTCTCTGAGTAACTGAAGAAGAAGCAGAGTTTGTAAGCTTGGCAGATCCACGCAGGCTTTGTGCCCTTTAGAGCATTTTACATTAGTTGAGATGCTAACCCTGTTTTATAAGAAAAGTTACTTAGCTCGCTTTTCCTTCTTTCCTTCCTCTCTGCATTCCCCCTTTTTTCCTTTGCTCTTTCTTTCATCGTTCAGGATCAGGCAGCTCCATAGAGCTATGAAATATTTGCCATATCCTTGGGAGAAACCTGTCCTTTCCTATAGTTTTCTAAAGGGTGAGCTAAAAGGGGAAGAAAAGGAAGGTGCACATGGAACTTGGCGCCCCAGAACTCTGCCCGGCGGCCGAGCAAGTGCAGCTTTCTTTGTGAGGCAGCCTGCCCCAGCTGTCCAGCATAGCAAAAATACTAGCGAGCCGCTTTTCAGACACACTGGGACATCTGAAACGGCATTTGCACAACAGACATTTGATATTTCAGAGCCAATAAGTCTAAGGCTGAGAACCCTTTATCCAAAATGCTTGAGACCAAAAGTATTTTGAATTCCACATTTTGGAATATTTGCATATGCATATTGAGATACCTCTGGATTAGCACCTAATTGTAAATACAAAATTCATCATATTTTGGATAGATCTTATACATACAGCCAGCCCTGAAGGTAATTTTATACAATATCTTTAATAATTTTGTGCATGAAACAAAGTTTCATGATAAGGAATTTTCCACTGTTGTTCATGTCAGCACTCAAAAAGTGTGAGATTTTAGGGCTAGGGTGTGGCTTAATGGTAGTGTGCTCACCTATGTGCACAACGCTCTTGGTCTGAATCTTAGTACTACACACACACAAAACAGTTCCAGATTTTGGAGCATTTTAGGTTTTCAGATTTAGAGATGCTCAACCTGTGTCCTCTGCAAGGAGCCATGCAAATGACCTGTAGGATTGTCTGTGAACCTCAAAGTACAGAAAAGTTGAATCTGGTCATGCCTATATGAAAAACCCTGCAGAGCACACGAGGCTCTCTCCTTACCGTTATAGAAGTTCATGTTCACTGTGAAAGTTTTTGGGGGGAGTGTGTTAGAAGAAAGTATTTATTGACTATCTTATTATTAACCCCCCTCCCAAGAATATACACTTCAAGAGAGCAGGATCTTTTCCGTTTTTCTAGTTTCTCTATCTGCAGGGTCTAGAGCAGTGGTGGCAAACCTATGCCACACATGCTACAGCAGGCTGTATGTTGTCACTGAAAGTTCTAAAAGGTTTGTCATCACTGATCTAGAATAACGGCTGATGGACAGCAGGTGCTCAATAAATATTTGATACATTCATTAGCTTGTGAATGAAGTGGCAGTTTAAAGGCTAACCATTATTTTCAGAAACTTACCTTGGGTTTCAAGGGATTGGGGAGAGGGTAACATTTTCCCTGTCTTTTGTTTCCTCCTTTAGTTTGTCCCTAAACTTTAGTTTATTGGTTGAAGCAAATTGGGCTCAACCAAAGAAGCTAAAGCTGTGTTCTCTCCTGCCAGTATCAGATTGGAAGTGGACCCAGTAAGGGGAAAAGTTGTATAGTTGCCTGCATCTTTACAAGTGAATTCCTTCCACTGGTGTTGACTCTTCTAATTAAACGTTGTCCAGAAGTTTCTTTTTTCCTTTCTTAGTTCTTTCTTAATGCAGTGAGTCATGACTTTTCCATCAACTTTGCAAAGGGATTGGATAAGCGTGTACATATAGAAAGTCATTTGAGATAACGAATTTTTTCACTTAAGGCAGCAGAATTATTTTTCAAAGCTGAGAGGTACAAAGGCCAGGGGACAAGTATTGGCAGTGGAGATAAATGAAAACCATTAGCAGAAATCCCATCTACCAGGGCCATCTTGTTCCTGCCCTCTCATAACGAATAGGAGCCTCTCAGAATGCTTACGGTTCCTCTCCACTCTTAATGCCAAGTGAGCTCTCCAGAATCCTTCTGAAAGCGGATGGGTTGTAAAACCCGGGATTAGAAGGGAAACACAGCTGGCGTCTGTTCCCCGGAAAGACCGCACAAAACTCGGTTTATGTGAATCGTAGTAACCTATGTTTTAAAGGACTCTGGGAAGGGGCTTCCAGTAAGCCAGCTCCCTGAGGTTCTAACTGGGACTCTGCGGGCCTGTTCTGTAGATGCTGGAGGAAGCCGACCGCCAATTCTGCCGCCAGGAGGAAGATCGGCGTCTGCCAAACCCTTCTCGCCCCCCAGCGGCCCGGGGAGGTTTCCCGCGCCTTCTCCCGGCCACCGCAGCGGGCCCCCGGAGCCTCCCCGGAACCGAATGCCTCCGCCGCGGCCCGACGTGGGCCTGAAGCCCGAGAGCCTTCCCCCTCCCGTACCGAACACGCCGAGACCCGTTCAGTCGAGCCTGCACAGCCGGGGGTCGCCCCCAGTGCCCGCGGCGCCCAGGCAGCCCGGCCTCGGGCCCACGCCTCCGCCCTTCTCCGGGAACCGCGGCGCGGCCTTCGGGGGCGGCTC